TATATGACAAATCTGGCTTGTCATCTCTGTGCTGAAGGTGTATTGACAGACCTATCTTTGCATAAGATAATGTCTAATTTTAACAATTTTTTATATACACATATTTCCAGTTTCTGGTACTTTTGATATTAAACACAATGAAAATAAACATTAAGAAATGAAACTTATATGTATACTTAACATTTCTAAAACCAAATTTTATAAAATGATTATTTCAATGACGTGTTCATACTAAACAAACAAAACTTACCTTAACAACTAACACTCCATACAGCATGATATTTATACAACAGGCTTGGTACACACTGAGCTTAACCCTTTGGTTCCAGAAGTCATGATTTCCTGACATAGCATCCTAATGCCAAATGCATTTTTATCGATGTTGGAAGCAAGAAATGTTTTGGTGATAAGATGTTAATAAGCAATCAGTTAACTATAAATACATTACCATACAGAATTAAAAATAAATATCAATTTGTTCAAGTTAAGAAAAAGTTTGACTTTATAAAAATGAAGTATGTCATTATACCCCCCCCCCCACACACGTTTCCATAGACCTTACAGAAAAAAAGTGTAAAATGCCATCCAAATAGCTGTTATGCAGCCTACAGCAGAATGTAAAACATGAACAAATTAAAGATTAGACTACCTGAAATAACAGAAATAATCCTAGCACACTAATGCTCCACTATGATAGCAAATCAATAGCATCTGCACAGTGGTTGAAGAACTACAAGTCTGCCTCATGGCTGTAAAGGTAACAAGAACAATAATGCCTCCAGTTTTCATATCTAAGCTACATGACACTACATTCTTCAGTGACTGTAGTAAAGTTACTTGTTTGAAAAGGTTCTAAAAGACCAAGTGATGTTTATTTATCATACGTACTCTGGGAATGTATTGTCATGACATTTAAATAATTCCAGGAGTGAGGCCAGCTTGCTTCACGACAGGTCATCATAATCACAGCATCACTAGTGAAGATAACAAATTTTCAGGAACTAAAAATAACAGTACAAAAATCTTAACCATAGCATTATAATATGTTTTTAAGGATGTACCGATAAGACAGTAAAATATATTACCTTTCAATACTTAGGTTAATATTTTCCATTCTCATCACTATCCTTATTTAGCTATACTGCCGTATGTTATTAATCAGTGTACCTACTGATTGGATCCATTCAGTTGGTGCATTAGGGTAATGAATGGCATATATAAACATGTTTCAAATACATTTATTCGGATCACTATACATGAAAGTAAAATCACTACTACAACTCATACACAAGCTTGTCAGATGGGATGTTTTTCTCTGTTTTGCATAAGACATGCTAATGTTTATGCCATCTGCAGCCCTGAAACCCAGAAAAAATGTAAATAAAAATACAGATAAATAGATACAAATACACAGTCTGGGGACAGGCCATCTAAAAACATTTTTCAGCTACGCAGCCATCATTCAGAACAATGGCACATCTAAGTATGAACCACGAGCACCTTTAAGAAACAATACTGGTGATCTAACCGATGAAAATATTTTTCTATCAAAATAAATACATACAGAAGCATAACAAATGCCAAACATCAGACTTCTCTACCTTTTACTCAGTTTACATAACATGTCACTTTCAGAAGTATTTTTCATAAGAAGCAAGTAAGAATTGCTTTGGCTCACTACCCAAATTCCTCTAGAAAGGTCCCAGGGGATTCCACAGAGGCATACTGTGTGCTAAATACCATAAAACATCCATGGCCCACTATCCTAAAACCTTACTTTTGCAAAGTGTGTAAGGTGAGGTTGAAAGTTTATGAAATGACCTTTCAACCTGCTGATTAGCTAAAATACGCCACAGGCCACTAAAATACTGCACATGATACTGAGCAATGCAGAAAATAGATAAAATAGCATACTGAATGTTTCTAAAATAGATACAGAATACAATTTGTAACAAAATGACTAAAATAAGAAAAAGTTCTTTTTTGTATGTGCTCCTTATTTACATCAAAATATGGTGTGCATGAGAGGTAAAATGTGAAATATTACCTACACTTAATTGCAGATGTATAAGCTAGTTAAAAAGTTTTATTACATTTATAATATAGGTCCAATCTGTGTCCAGTTGCCACATTAGTCAGTTACTCTGAAATTAAGAAACATACTAATACCGAAGCTAATTTAATATTTTTGTGGAAGAAGTTTATTCTCCCTTTTTATTTCAAGCATACGTTTCTTGATATTTATGTTCTCTAAGCCCTGTGTTGTTAATATGTATGTATCAATACCTGTTGCTATGAAACTTTGGCACAATAAAATAATAATATTGTACAATTTTATGGTCTCTACTGCAATATTTGGTGAAACAGGCATCATAGAATTCTCAAAATGTAAATTTCCACTGCATAATGAACAATGCAAAGCTCTGTATGAACTGTCCATGATAGAAATAAAAAAGCTCCAAGGATTTATTTTCAAATGCATTTATACACTTTACAGTCAGAAAGAAAAATAAAAATGGAATTATACTCAGACCTTAATTTACTTGACATTTGAGACATAAACTGAAGTTGGAGAGCACATTTCATTTTTCTTTAATTTAAAAAAGTATCAAATAAAGAGCACAAGTTTAATAAGAAACATTGTGAGCATTCTGAGTGTCTGGAGCAAAATCTGGCACAAAAAAGCAGCAATCCTGGCTTTAAAGAGCTTTAGAAAAGAAAATATTTGCTATTTTCTTTCTTTATTTACTCCTTCCGTTTCACCACTACTGGTGAGAAGGAAGCACGGGGCATCTTTACCACTTAGGGTATGTCTACACTGCAACAAAACACACACACAGCTGGCCCATGACAGCTGACTCAAGATATAGAACTCTTTAATAGATGCTCAAGATCAAGATGGGGAGCCAACATCTACACAGTAATTAAATAGCTCAGAGCCCCAGCACTGTGAACGCCAATTTGTTGACACGGTCTAGCTGCAGGTGTTTAATTGCAATGCAGACATTCCCTTGCTTTCCCTGGGAGACTGAAGGACACAAGGCACTCCCTCCATATTTGACCCAATGGGAATATGAGGACACAGAGCATCTCCACCAATCTCTCCTCCGCTTTCAGAAGAATCTCTTCCTCTCTCAAAGTAATTGCCATCTCTCTCTGTTTCAGGTCTGACTCCCGGTGAGTTCCCCCTGCTTTTATTACCATTCATCCCTCCCGGCTGTTTCTCCAAATGCTCTCCTCCTTTGACCTGAGATAAAGATCATGTGGTGGGTGGAACTGCCAATCCTACCCTTAGGAACTCACTGAAGGAATATGGCTGGCAGCTCAGGCAGTTGCTGCCTCTCTGGCGACTTGTTTTGCCTCTGTCCTCAGCTTTCAAAACATTCAGTAGAGGGAAAAGCCAACACTGAGGAGAAGGGTGGGAAGCTGAGACTATCTCAGGACTCTTGCTTGCTTTCTATAGCAGATCCTCATGGCTGGATGCCAACTGTACATATTTAATTCCCCTTAGACAGCTGCGTGAGTCTTTGGCCTGGTTGTAAGCCCTTATAGTTGGTTTAAAAAAGCCAGGGCAGTCCTCACCGAACTGAGACAGCTCGTAAGTATGCAAATTGCTGCAATTTAAAAAAGCACATTGGAAAAAGGTAGAAGCGTAATGCTGTGTGAGTAAGTTCTTATGTTCCTTCATGAATGTGTCACAAAGAAAAGGATGAAAATGTGAAATTTCATTTAAAAAAGTACAAAGTGAACATAATTAAAGAAAGAAAGAAAGAAAGAAAGAAAGAAAGAAAGAAAGAAAGAAAGAAAGAAAGAAAGAAAGAAAGAAAGAAAGAAAGAAAGAAAGAAAGAAAGAAAGAAAGAAAGAAAGAAAGAAAGATCTCTTGTGTTTGAGATCCTCTCTTAGAAGCCCCAGAAGAGAAAAATAGCTTGAAGACCAAGGCAAAGAACCTACCCCACAAATCACATCAGAGACAAAAAAGCACTTATTTAAAGAAAGTTAACTGAGGATGCAGAGCAGCCCCAAGTGGCTGTTTGGAATTCTCACTCAGTAGAGCACACCTACCAAAAAGGCACCACACACAGAAATTCACTGGCCTACCAAAGAATATGTGACCTTTTAAAGGCTTCTCCAGAAAAGCAGATAGAGGATATGAGGGAAAAGATAGGAGAAATTTTTCTCTCTCTAAAACCAGAACCATGCACGGTCATCTCTCACATACTGATGTCTTTTGCTGTTCACCAGTGAAAAGATGAATATTTGGTTTCCTTAAAATGAGTGAAAACTGTTGGTGTTAGCAATGTATAACCTCAAATGTAATTCTTACTTATGATAGCCTAAAAATGTAGTAAAACTTACCCCCCCCCAAAAAGCCTTTCTGAGATAACACATTTTGCTTTTTACAAATGGTAATATACTTTTATTAGTAAAGTATTCGATAAAATTACTCAGCATGTGGTAATACAGTTCACATATTCTGAGTGACACACTGCATCCAAATATGAAACCCTAGAATACATTTTTCTATAAGCTGAAGGTGCTGCTCCTTTGCAATTCAGCCAGTTGTGTTGGCAGCTTTGGAGTTGTTCTGCATTTGCCACTTGGTTGGAATGCTTGCGGATTGCCTAGGGTTGTTTTGTTTTCTTATATATCTTTTTACTCTTAGTTTTGACCCAGGAATTTTTACATCTATTTGTGACTAAGAGCACATAAAAGCTTCTTAAGAGATCTATATAAACATCTTTATATTGTAGCTACTGAACTCAGGTTTGGTTTGGTCTGTATAAATCTCTGTAGTAAGCAACCTTTTAAGTATCTTATCAACAAACTACATTTTCTTATTGTGCAGTGAGTTTTCTTTATGAATCAGAAACTAACTACTAGCACACAAGCATGTCTACTGTTCATATGCAAGAGTACACTATAGACAAACACATAAATGGGTCAGCACAATTCACTTCCTTGTGAATAAGGACCCAAAGATAAAAAATATTTTACTAACCTGCAGTGGTCTCTGTTTATCACTGCCCTTAGGAGATTTCAGTCCACTTGTCTGTTGCTGTAAGAGCAGCTGTCTTGCTGCTTGGAGTGCCTAAAAGTAAAAAGACAATCCTGAAATAATTTTTGAACATTTCTTAGAAAGAGGCTGATTAGTCACTCTGAATATTAGGTAAGTACATTCAGAGAAAATATAGTCTCCTCCTATTCAATTTGTAATCATCAGACTTGAGGTTTTTCTGAAAATATACAAGAAAAATCCTCAAAATGTACATACATAAGACTTCACTAGAATTTATAGATGTACATGAAATCCTGCAGGAAATAAAGTTAATTTGTTTAAAGTGCTTGAAGAGGAAAAATCATAAACTGCATCAATAGCCTCATTTCCACAAGGAACTTGTCTTTGAGTGTTCAACTAAAATGCCCACTCCCTTGTAAATTATCATTCAATTTGCATTTTCATATTACAATTTTGAAGCAAAAGCAGTAGACTTCAAGTGTTACCGGAAGCTGTAATTAAATTTGACAAATCAACATCAGATTATCTTGAAAGTGAATTAATAAGGATATTCATTGAAGATTAAAAACACTTTTTTGTACTTACAATTCAAGGGGAAACCTCTCCTTTGACAAAATAAAGTGCAGTTTTAATGCTAAATAAAACTGAGTGGTTTTCATTTGCATTCTTAGAAAAATCAGAGAACAAAGAAATTACCACTCCACCAATCAGATTAGTTTCTGTGGATGACATTATCCCAATCAAAATATAAGATGTTTTCATTTATTTTATGTTTTCATTCCAACTAAGCAAAATAAAGCTAAGCAATAGAAATGTATATAAACATTCAATATACCGGAAGAGAGCTAGTGTAAATGAATTTTGTCCAAATAATTATTGTAAAAACAAGAGCTACAAGATGGCTCTTTAAAAAACATTTTTTTAAAAGGCAAAACAGTTTAAACTAACTGTAAAACATTTATAATGAAACTGCTTG